TAGCACACAGTAATAATCACACGTGTCAGGTTCTCACTCCAGGGACGAGTTAAGGGCAGTGGCCTGGGAGCCAGAAATCCTGGGCTCCAGCCCTGAGATTGTCTTACCCAGTGGGGCTGGATGTCTGGGCAGACATTGACCTGGCTGTGCTTCCTGTTGCTAATCTGTGATGCAAATGGCTGATGCCTGTGGCCTCCCTTCAGCTTTTAAGGTCTACACTTCTGAAAGCTCGAGATGGTGTGAGGCTCTGTGGGTCTGGAAAGAGAGGGATGAGGACCACCCCTTATCCTGCTCTGAGATTTGGGCAGAGAGCTCACTTCATTGAGTCTCAGCTTCTCATTTCACCTGATTTGTGGAACCCAAAACATGTGTGAAAAACAACTCTATTTAGGACACTGTGATAGCCAAAGCGAAAGCGTCAAAGGAGAGGCCTCCCTCAGGAGAAGTAAGACAGGTCAGGATCAACCTGTAGAGTGGATTCAAATAGTCAAGTGTCAGGCCTCCCTGGTGGCGTAAGGGTTAAGATGCAACCTATGACGCTGTCTGCAGCCACTCAGCACAAGTTAAATTCCCATAGACCAGGGAGCAACCCAGCTGGTGCAGCAGACCTTTCCTGACTCACCTGCTGCTCCCCTCAGCAGTGTGCTTCTTCGGTCTGTCTGCCTGTTCTCTTCCCCACTCTGTCTCTGGTGAATCCTTTCACCTCCTGCACCTCTGGCCTGTACCCCAGCTCTTGTGTGCATAAATAAATAAATCTGTAAAAAAAATTGCCAAGTGTCCCTGTCCCCTGAGAAGTTGAACCAGTGTGGCAGGTAGATTTCTGCTCCTTCCCAAACTGTTAAATTGGCAAAGTTCACCCAGTCTTGTCTGAGAAGACCACTAAGGACACGAATGTATTTCATGAGACAGTGTCATGGCTGATTGATACCGTTTGCAATGGACAGATAGTGTTGGAGAGAGGGAGTTGTGGCTGTTTGCATTCCCAGGGTTAAAGGGGAAAATCTGTCAGAATTACTTATCAGTTCTCCTTCATTCCTTTTTCTCTCACTATCCCTTCTCCCCGTCAAGACCCTGCCCTGCCCTCGATAGCCCGGGGTACTCTGCAGGGCTTCAACAGCAGGAGAAGATGAGTTGGTAAAAAAAAATTGTGGCAAAGGTTGACTTTGCCTTGGAGGCAAATCAATGGCTGACAAACCAACATGGCTGACCCACTGGTTTCTGGGGTAGAGCATCTGTAGAGAGGACCATCATGTCCCCTTCCCAAAAGAAGATGGAGCCAATTCCCAAGCCTGATCAGTACTGGTCTGTGGCTTGGGTTGAACGACAGACACAGTCAGGGTGACAGTCGGGTCTCTGGGCCAGGAGATAAGACACCCTTTAGATTCTGTTTCTATTTAGAGGGAATCAGACAACCATGGAAAGTCCAGGCCATCAGTGTAGACAGAAGAGGCAAATCTATGGGGAAAACTTAGGTTCCCTGCCTATGAGTGAACCAGCCAACATCACAAGAAGGAGACCCAGTCACCCCAGCCTTTCCCCAGATGCTTGAGCCATTCTGTTAAAGCACCAGATACGTGTGAGGCCATCATGAATCCTCCAGCCCCAGGTGAGTAGCCCCACCTGAAACCACAGGGGGGCAGAGAGGAGCCATTCCACAGGAGCCTGCTCAGATTCCCTGTCCACAGAGCAAATGGTGCAGAGCAAAAGGATTACTGTGCTAATCAGCAAAGTCTTGAGAACAATAACACCACTGTTGGTCCTCTCCTGTCCCAATCTGTCTTCTTGAACTCTTTTATTATGGGCAAAATAAATCCCTGCATTAAACTCCTCTGTTGGAAATATTCAGAGCTAGAACGCCGTAACAGACATGGCATGTGCAATAAAAGGGTAAACTTGACCTTTCAATGGAGATGTGCTGATGAAATAGATCTCAGACTCCAAAGGCAGTTGTGAGTCCGATGCCATAGTCTTGAGAATTTGCAAAAAGCAGGAGACAACGAACTTGAGGACGGCTCCTCATACCTGTCTTCTCTAGGCTCCTGTGCCCTCTGGCACCTGGTGGGGTTGGGCCAATAGGAGACACTGGTAAGAAGAGGGGTGGAGTAGGAAGAAAGAGTCGGGACTTGGGCAGGTCCTGAAACTATCATGGCAGTAGCAGGGGTTCCAGACTTAGCCAGAATCAGGTGCTGGGTCACCCCTGACCCTCTCTTCCAGGCTCAGATGTGAGCAGTGACTGTTTCCTCCCCCACAGCCACTCTTGGCAGGTGGCCCCTCTCCAGACACCCCAGCCATCCCAGACCCCAGTAACACAGGCTGCAGTGGGAACAGTGCCCCCTGCTGCTCCCCGCTGGGTGCTGCAGCCCTGACTGTCCCGTGAACCCTGCCCAGGTCTTTGGAAATGGCCCCCTTTAAAGTCTCTTTCATGGATCTCTTCAGGGCCCCGTGTGCTTTCTGCTGACAAGCTGATTAGCACAGGGCACGGAAGGATCTGGAGCCGGAGATTGTAGAGAGGATCCATGAAGAGGATGTCTGTAGGGTCAGGAAGACCACAGTGCAGGTTTTCTAGATCCCATGCAGACCGGGAAAAGGAGAATCAGAGTCCTCAGTGGTTTTTTGAAGTCTTTTATTGGGGTTCACCAGGCATATGGCAGGCAGGGACGCTGGGGGGCCGGTAGGCTGGCAGGCCTCTCAGGCCCAAGCAGGTCTTCACTCTGGGCTCTCCGGCCTTCTCCCAGCTTCTGCTTCTCTTGCTTCTCTCTCGGCTTCTGCTGGCATCTCTGTGACACCGCCCTTAAAAACCCAGTGGAATCCCATCTACTTGTGCCCACACCCTACTCCAGGTGCCCGCCATCAGTCATGCATTCAGGACCGCAGGGCTCTGTCATCTATCCTGATGGCGGGAGGGCAGAAAAGCCTGACACTTTTTACCTTACACTACAATGTCCCTCAAGGCGGCTGACGGGGGTGGACGCCAAGGATGACCAGGGAAGATAATGAATCAGGATGGAAGCAGCAACGGGAGTTCTGAGCACAGTGTTCGGGAGGGGGGTGCTTGCTGGAAGTGGGTTCCATGCTAGGGAGATCTGGAGGGGCTGCTTCATGAGGAATGCCGAAGACGTTGGGCTGCTGCAGTTCGCTGGAGGAGACCATCTCTGCTGGCCAAGCTGCACTTCGGGTTCATGGAGGGTGAGAGGAAGCAGGTGAGCGTGGTTCTCACATGCAGGGTGGGAGCTTGTGGAATCCTTCCTTCTGGTTCACATTCTGCGCTGTTCCCTCCTGTGACCCTCGTCACCGGTCCAGTGAGCCTCTCCATTGTGTCCTCTCAAGAAAAGCTGACCCCCATGGCGCGGCAGCCCTCGCCTGTCCCCTCAGCAGTGTATTTCAGTACATCCCCCTGCTCTGCTCCCCGCTCTGTCTCTGGTGAGTCCTCTCACACCCACACCTTGGCCTGTGTGGGGGTTCTTGTTCTTGGATGCATAAATAAATAAATCTTCAAAAAAAAAAGAAAGAAAGAAACACCCCAAAGGTGGGTGAACTGGGGAAGTCTGAATCTTAATTGCACCTGGCCCAAGCACCTGTCCTCATGCCCAGACAAGATGAAAGTCCACAGCAGTGCTCAGGAGAGAAGAGCACAGTGGGGGAGAGGAAAGGCTCCTGCAGGGAGAGGGATGGCCAGTCAGGGCCAGGGGAAAAGGAGCCGAAATTGACTGACTGTGCTAGACTGTTCACTGCTGCGTCTTTGTCGTCCCCACCACACTGACATAGGATTATTATAGTTCTCACTTGGGTGGCAGGGAAGCTCGAGCTCAGGGGCAGCAGGAAACCCTCTCCTGGTCATAGAGTGACCCCAAAATAGGAACGCAGAAGTGCCTGACTCCACAAATGTGCAATTCTTAATAATCCAAGTGGTATCCAAGGGAGTACCAATTTATTTGTCAAATCTTCATTCAACACATCTGTTTGTTAAAACCAAGAAAATCTCCAATTTGGAAAATTAAGCAACACGTTTTTCAATAACGAAATTAGATAATATTTTTTACTAAATGATAATGAAAAGACATATTAAAACTTAGGCACTGGAGCACTCAGAGAAAACTTTATTGAAGCAAGTGTGTGTTAGAAAAGAAAAAAAACTGACCAAAATCCATGGTTTAAGCTTCCATTGCAGCCAGTTGAATAAAGAAACCCCAAGGAACTAGGATGAATTTCTATACCTCTACTGATACAGAGAAGATTAAAATCCAATGTAAAAATCTGAAGATGGGTTTCTTTGAATGAGTGGAAAATGCTGACAGTCCCCAAACTAGACTGATCAAGAAAAAAGGGAGAAGCTTCACCTGCAGGGTCAGGCACGCACGCGCACTGCCAAGCAGACCATGCGCCCTGCGGAATGGAGGAGGAAACGTACGTTTTCAAGTCATTCAGAAAAATCACATTCCAGATTTTATTGTATTAAACCTCACAGGCACTTACTGGTGGAAAACAAAAGGCACGTTAAGTTTGTGGTTTAGTCCTCAAGATAGAGAGCACATGTGCTTTGGAGTCCCACAGACCAGAGTTCAAAGTCATCCTCTTCCTTGAATAAATTATGACATTAGGCCAGAGATAGAATCTCTCTGCACTTCCATTTTCTCATCTAACACATGGAGGATAATAATATCAACCTCACTGTGCAGCGCACCAAGCACTGGGAAGCTCTCACAAGACTTTTCCCACATGACCATGATCATGGCATTTATAGTCTGACTATCAATAGATCCTAAAGGGTTCAAAATGGACCCTGACACAAGGCCGTTCATGTGGAATGTGACACTTTCTGGAAAGCTTGGGTGTTTGTCTTCCTGGACTTGACAGTACCAATATGCACCATACTGAAAAATGTGCTCATTTTCATAAAGGAGGCTGCCCACAGATACCCAGCGTAAACCCTTCATAGGAAAGTTAAAATGAAATAATTCAGGATAACATTTTCATTCTAATATTATACAATGATTTCTCTTGAATAATACGACATCAAAACAAAAGCTATGTTAAGACTGGAGAGAAAGGTCTTGTCCGGTGTTGAAATGACAGGGGCTCCCCTCAAATCCTCAGCTCCCCACCAGTGTGGCTCCCGAGTCAGGCAGGTTGATGGACAGCAAGAGTGCAACGATTAATCCGATCACACCACTGCCCCATAATACAGATTTGCATTGTGAAACCCCACGATTCAGACATGCAGGAAATGACTTCCTGTGACAAGAAAACAAAAATGGAGATCAAGTGGCAGCTCAGGAAAGGGTCTGGTTAATTTGAAATGAAAAAACCCCTTCATTAGTAACAAAAGAACCCATGGGCCCCCCAGCACCCACCCCATCTCCTGACAACACAGAGAAGGGCCAAGTCAGGAGTGAGAAATAAAATGAGAAGTAAATACTTTGAAGGGAGTTTGATGACAAACTCCCTTTGTGCAAGGATAGAAATGACCTCCTGGCTCTCACACTTAACAGCTGCCAACATGAACATCAACTGATGAGCAAGGACAGCAAAAGCAGCACCCTGAGACAAGGGTCCCCAAATTATCTGTTGATGACCTGCTCTCTTCTCCTCAGGAGCTTCTTGAGAGAATGTTGAGCCAAAGCCTGAGAAGGGGCAGTGTTTCTAGACTCTGGAGAAGGCAGGAGCAGGAGGACCTCACCTCCTCTGCACAGAGCAGCCCCAGGGGGATCTAGCTGGTGAGTGACTCTCATTTCCATACAAACAAGAAAACAAAGCACCAGGGCCCAGAGGGAGGGGCTGGCAAGTGGAGGAGGGGTAGAGGGGGAGCAAGGTTCTTCATCACAGGAGAGTCCAGGCTGATTGAGCTGAAGGCAGAGAAGGAGCCTTAGAACAGCGACCAGCACCCACGGGCTTCTGAACACTCGGGTCTGTCTCTAGCCCATTCCAAGGCCAATGGCACAGAGGCTTGAAGTGTGGATCCCCCATCCTCACCAGTGTGGTGGCCCGGGATCCCCCAGAGAATAGACTCAGGGAAAGAGGGGGGAAAAGCATCCACAGAACAGGGAGGGCCCAGTTCCCTGCTCCCCCAGAGAAGGGCGGAGCCCAGCAAGGAGGAGCAGCTGGAGAACCTGGGAGAGGGAGGAGCCATCAGGAGGGAGACCTGGAGGAGGCACCTGGAGCAGAGACCCAGGCCAAGAAGCCGCCCTTATGTCTCAGCCTTGGACCGGACCAGGGACTTGGGGGACAGGCAAGGAGACACTTGAAGCGCCAAAGACGTGCGGGACAGACCCGTGGGGAGGCTACAACGGCAGCCTTTATCTTGTCTTGGCTTTGGATTTTGCTCCTTTTCTTGCAGACCTGCCAGCCCCTTCTGCCCCTTCCTATGGGCCCCACCAGGAGAACCCTAGGCTGGGGGCCGGCTCTCAGGCCTCAGCGTCCCGCTTGGGCCAACACTGTCTGGCTGGGCTTTTACCCTCAAGGGGATGGGTAACTGTGGGGGCTTCTTTGGAAACTCTATTCTCTCCCTCCTCTTTGTTGCCCACTAATTGTTTCCAAGTTCCTTTCCATGACAGGTCTTCTGCATGTTTTGTCTTGATAGGGCAGATGGCAGAGCCTATTTAGAGCTGGCAGGTTTGGGGGTTCTGGGTTCCCCGACCCTGCCCGGAACAGGGGTGACAGGACAGGTAAGGAAGAATGAGCAGGTGGCCCAGGGTGGCTGGGAACCCTCCTGGGTAGTTAGAAGGGGGGCGGGGGAGGGGAAGGAGATCAGGATAGTTCATCCCCATCACCACCAGGGCCAAGAGGGACTCATGAGACCTCCTGACTCAGAGGAGGCAGAAAGAAAATGCCTACAAATACCAAGATGCCATTCCTGCCTTAAGAAAAAAACCAATGGGGGCCTCCCTGGTGGCGCAGCGGTTGAGCGCTGGGTTGAGAAGCTGCCTGCAGCCTCCACGGCGCCGGTTCGATACCTGGATGCTCCCCGGCCACCGGAGGAGGGTCCCACATGGCGCGCAGACCTCTCCTGCCGCCCGCTGCTCCCCTCAGCAGTGTACTTTGGTCCTTCTGCCTGTTCTGCTCCCCGCTCTGGCTCTGGTGAATTCTCTCACCCTCCCGCGCTTCTGACTGTACCCAGTGCTTGTATGAATAAATAAATAAATAAATATTTAAAAAAAAAAAAAAAAAAAAGAAAAAAACCAATGACCTGTCCGTATGCTCGCAAGTAAATGTAATGTCTCGTCTTAAATCTGATTTCAGTCGTTGTATGGAGCCTGAGCATGAGTCCCTGGAAAGAAAGAGGCAAGTGTTAAAATGACAAGATCTCACAGACATTTCTTGAATCTCTTAGTTTCTTCTGAGGAGCAGGCAGGCCCTGGGCCAGGCTCTGGGCAAAGAGTGGAGCAGAGGAAGCTTCTAAGAGCTCCCAGCTGGAGGGGAGCTGAAGGTGGGAACTAGGTGGGTGTCTATTATGGAGACTAAGGTAAGAGAGAGTGGCTGGGCTGGGTTGAGGGGAGAGTGATTCCCCATCCATCCCTGCCCCAGTCTGTTCCCAGGACATTCTTGTGACTAGGGATTCTTTCATGGCTCAGTTCCTGAAATCACCCTGAGAATACAGGAGTACAAAGGAGCAACAGATACCTGGTTTCGCTGTCATGGATCACGCAGGCATGTAGTGCGGTAACAGCTAAAGACAAATTAGGGACTTCCACACTTGCAAAAACACTGAGATGAAAGAGACAAAAACCATTAGCCCCAAACCACAAACTGAACCAGGTTCCTAGTGCCTGTCAAAGCCAGCAGGCAGGAGGCCACTGGTTAGAAGCTACTCTCTGACACTGACCCATAATTTGCATTGGAAACACCCAGTGTACTCCTTCAGTTCAACCCTCTGAACAAAGTTCTCAAAACAAGAGCTAATATCTGCACATCAATAGGGATTTTTTGCATTTTGTTTGTTTGGTTTTTTTTTTTTTTTTGAAGATTTATTCATTTCTTTATCCAAGAACCAGGGTACAGGCCAGATTGGGGAGGGTGAGAGGATTCACCAGAGACAGAGTGGGGACCAGAACAGGCACACTGATGAAATATACTGCTGAGAGGAGCCATGGGCCCAAAGGAGAGCTCTGCTGGGCCATGTGGGACTCTTGCCAGCCAGCCTGGATGCAACCCCTGTGGCAGAGGCTGCCTGCAGACAGCTTCACAGCGCTGCACTCAACTGCTTGCGCCACCAGGGGAGGCCCGTTTCTTTGCATTTTCTTATTCCAAAAGGTGGTCTTAGGCCACATTTGAGCTTTCCCTGCTGAGTCAGAACCTACTGCTGCAAAGCCCCTGGGGAGCACAGGCAAGACCCCGGGGTGCACAATTGGAGCTTGAGAAGCACTGCTTTGAAAAACGCTGATGTCCTGCTCTAACCCCAGTCCCCAACTCTTCCCCATGAGTCTGACAATTGTCATTCCTTGTGCAAATACTGGACCCCCAATACCAGATATAGAATTGGGGAATGTTAATGTTTTTACCCCCAAGTCCACAAAGTTGGGGTCAGAAAAATATATAAATGCCAATGCTCCTTTGTGGAGTTAGACGTAACAGAAAAGAAGGAAAATAAATTTGGGCCACCAGAGTGCCCTGAAGATGGAGAACACAGACTGAAAAGGTCCCTGAGGTGGAAGCAGATGTAAATACAGGGGCAGTGGGAGACAGAGACCCGGATGGGGTAGATTCCGGGATGAATTCAAGGAGAATTAGCGCTGATATTCCTCGGTCTTTTCCTCTGCTGTGGGCAAAGATGCTGGACATTGTTCGTGCATCAGCTCAGATGATCTTCAAATCACCATCACACCCCGGCTCCTAGTCCAGGGGCTGCAGAGGTCAGGTGCCCTGCTGGGGTCACATGGCAACGACGATGACCTCTGGAGTCCACCCCTGGAACCCTCACAACACACTGTGACAACACCAGCCCTGAGCGATAAAGGCCCTGCAGCTGCCACCACGCCTGACGTGCTCCACTGTCATTTCACAGCTGGGTGAGAGTCTCACGCTGTGCATGAAGCAGAGAGGAGTCAGATCAGATCTACAGGACGGAGAATTTAGAGAAGGTGCAGTGTGGGGAAAGGTGTTCTGGGGTAAAAGTGTAAACAAAGATGGGGAATGGACAAGATGGAAGGTCATGAGAGACATTGAAAAGATCACAAGGGTCAAGAGGAGGAGGAGACACGCAGCAAGGACCACTTCAGGGCTGATGCAAAGGAGCAACTGGACAGAAGTACCAACAAGGAAGGCAAAGGTCTCCATAGAGACACAACTTTTACCCTTTGAGTCCAAATTTTCCATCCTCACTTTAAACACAAAAATCATATCCTCTTAGAGACAAATTTTCCCATAGGCGGTTATGCTGACCACAGAAACAGAAATCACGTACCTGGATCCATTGTAGGCGACAGACTCTTTGTTGGACCCATTGAGTAACACAGGGACCTTTTTACAGGCATTTTTTGCAAACTGAAAAACAAAAGAGAACCTCACTATCCCTCCGCATGCAAACGTCAGCACCATCCCCAGCGCTTCCACCAAAACAGCTCCCAGCTCAGGTGGTGAAAGACGAAAAATCCCGCGTGGGTCTAGCTCAGTGAAGTCAGGTCTGTGAGTGTCGTGCCCAGACACTGCAGGAATTTCGCGTCACATGGGGATTCTGGAAGGAGTGGCTCCAGTTTGTGTCTGAACAATGAAGGTCAATGTCATTGTTCCCATGGGAGATAAATTAGGGTCCAGAAGCCGGAAGTGTAGAGACTGAGGGGAACTTCACTGGGGAAGGAAGCAGAGAACACTTTCTGGGACCTGCAGTGTAGACACTGAGCATTTCACCTTGGGAGTTAAGCAGTGGAAGAAATGGGTGAGCCAAGAGGAGGGAGGTAGGAGAGAAGGTGACACTGAGCCCTGGACAGGCCCAAAGAGAAATGCATGGTGACATTATGAAGCCAGGAGTTGTAGCTCACCGTGCAGCAAACATTTAGCTGGCGTCTGGGCTAGGCCTGGGGGATTCAAAAGGAACAAAACAAAGGCAATGACATGTTCCCCAGGAGGCTCACCAGGACTCCAGGACAGCTCCAGTCCCTTCCCTGAACAACAGCAGTATCCCACATCCTCCATGTGACCTAACAATATGGTACTGTGGTGAGGAGCTTAACCACCAGCAATGGGAAAGCTTGAGAGTTGTGACCCCCTGCTGGCTGTGACCAGGGTGGGGGGGAGGGGATTGGGTGGGCAACCCATGGCAGAGGGGGCGCCCAGGAAACCCTGTCACAGGAGCAGAGGGAGGAAAAGGAAGGAACCAGGAGCCAGAAGTGCAGTTCCCTGTGAGGGAGATGAGGAAGGGCAGGAAGAGGTCATGGAGGGCAACAAAGACCAAGACCCGAAGGATGAACAGGATGTTGCCGAGTCACGGAGGCAGCTGCCAACAGAAAGCTCAGGGGGCTTGAGAGAATAGGGGCGATTTGGGGGACCCCTCAGTGGATGCTGAAGTGAAATAGAAGAGTCAGTTCATGGAATTCAGGTTCATGGATGTTTAGTCACGGGCTTTGCCTTTATCTGCAAGTGGTAAATCACCGTAGAGAGAAATTGAAACGGATTATGAAACCCAGCGTGTCTCTTCCCTCCGGGTGTGAGGCGCAGAGGCCAGTGGCGGGGGTCACCAGTCACAGGGGTAACTCAGTGGAGTGCTGTCAGTGAGCTGAGCAGGGACCCCGCAAAATAGAATTAGCAAGAGCCCCACAGAGTAAGTATTGGGGCAATTTTCCCCAAGGTCATGTCTCTTGACAGGAGGAAGGAAGACGGGGTGCAACCACCAAGCCACGCTGTCTCTGTGTCAGAGACGGAAGGATGGAGTCTGATGAAAGAAGGTCATGGACACACATCCCTGAGATCTTGGCCAAGATAAAGGTGCAGTCCCAGGGGATCTCTCCATGGAGTGTCACTGGGCTTAAGTCACTAGATGGATTTCAGGCCCTAGAACATTCTGTCTGTGTGTGTCTATAGAAACCTGCCTCTCCCTGAGGTTTACTTTTTAGACACAGCAGAGCCTAGAGGCTTATGGAATGACATGGAGCTGAGCGCCAGGCCAGTCGGAGAACACACCTGCAGATGCAGAGGAGGGGCTGCCCAGAGGCCAGGGGCCCCCCACAGAAATCTTATTCCAGTGTCTGAAGGAAAGTCCCTTGATGCATGAACTGCCTTGAATTAGCCAGTTGTAAGGGAACTTCAGTCAAGTCCACATTTCTTTGCCTCTAAGGTTCTTTTCAGCCAATAAAACTTCGCTCCTTTGCCCTCAACCCCAGTCTCCAAAGCCTCTATAATTTAATCTGCTCTCCTAACTGGGGCGGGGGCGGGGGGAGGGCAGCTTTAAGCTGATCTCCTGTCTCCTTAACAATGGATACTCCATAAAGATTTTTCCTTTACTCAAAATCCTGGTGTCGTAATAACCTGGTCCCCGCACATCAGGCATGTGGTGGTATGATTCCCAGCAAGCAAGTTGGGCTGGAGGTGGGTCGGGGCGCTGGGCTGGGGGGTTTGAATGAATGAAGGGAGCAGACGGGCTGCCCTAAAAACTGATCCCTAGTGCATGATCCAGGTCATGAGTCAGGTCACACCCAAGCCAGCACCCTGCCAGTCAGTGATGCCTGGAGTCTGAACAGGGCCCGGAGACCCTCCCTGCACAGCGGACCAAGGCTTCTGTCTCACCTGCTGCTTCCGTGAACCCTTTGGTTCAATAAAGCTGCCTTTTCTATTCCCTGCTCTGTCTCAGAATTTTGTCACCACTGTGTCCTCAGCCTACACCCCAATTCCCCCCAGAAATAGGGCGGGAAGCTGGTTGCTTGGTAACAGTAGAGTGTCCTTGGTCACCTTTACAGTGTTCCCTGCTCCAAGGAGAACATTTCACTTACCTGTACTTTTAGCAGATATTTTATTTACCTGCACCTCCAAGCTGTCACCTGTAAAACACACGTGATGTGCATGGAACCTACTTCGTGGGGTTCTTGTGAGAATGAAACATTTGAATCCATGGAACAGCCAAGGAATGTGCCTGGCAGGGAAGTGGTCTGTAAACGTGGACTCTTAGGATTGTTCAGAATCCACATTGGCCAACACCTGGATCAGATGATTAAAATATTCTGAGTGTCCTGGCAGCCAAAGTCAAAGAATGGATGGACGAGCCCGGGGATTCTCTTCAACTGGGGGCCCGGACCCTCCATGAAAACCCAAACTATATGTGAAAATCTTCTGGCACGTGCTTAGGAAAGTCTTTCTCAGGAAAGGTTGAATCCTACATAGTTTTTCCTAAAAGGCCCTGTGATCCCAAAAGAAAGAAAACCAACCATTGACCTTTAAGTTCTTGGGTCTCCAGAATTCTAGAATTTCACTGCTGGTGCTTACCCATTTGGCTGCCACTTCCCAGAATACACGTGTAGGACCCATAGGGCAGATTCCATTCTTTTCTTGATAAGGGCCATAATTCACTTCTAAAAGACACAGTTTACAGAAAGTAATTGAAATGGAAAAGAGTTTAATTTAGCCCCATTCTTCCCCAGGGCTTCCAGCTGGTGGAGACATTTGCCCACTGCCAAGGAGGAGGAGAATGGACACATCTCCACCCAGTTTCACTTAGTGCCCCCAAATCCCTTCCAGATCCTTACCTTGCCCTCCAAGCACCAAAGGGGAATGAGGTGACCAGTTCTGAGTCATCATGCTGGGACATGAAGGCCAGAGCTCACCTGGCAGAGCAGCCCCAGGCTCTTCCCACATCCAGGAAGACTTAGGTGTGAAACTAGGCCCTCAGGGGACCTCTGGCCACCTGCTGCTCTGTCTCCTGCCAACACTCTCTTGTTGACAGCTCTCCTCCCTCTCCCACACCCTTAGGTTCCAGACCCCTGAGTAAACTGTCTACACCCCTCCCCATCAAGAAGAGTGCCACCATTGGGGAGCTGCCACAGAGAACCTGAAGACAGTTTCTGTGTTGCTTAGCCTAAGGATATTTGCATGAATGACATTTATTTTCTTTTTATCGATGTATAACAGACAAATAAAGTCATTATCTCTTTAGATTGTAAAACCTGATGACTTGATATCTGTATATATTGTGAAAAGATCCCCCCATCAAGTTGACTAGCACATGCATCACCTAAAATGAATGTTTCTGTTTTCATGAGAACATCTAAGACCTTCTCCCTTTGCCAATTTCAATCACATAACACAGTGTTATCAAGTGTCATCACCTCGCTGCACACAGACGCTCAGACCTTCTTTATCCTGTAACGTAGAGTTGGTTCACTTTCACCACCCCCTCCTTAGCCCCTCCACCTTCCAGCCCCTGCTGCGTTTTGACTCTGTTTCTACTAACTTCATGTTTGAGTTTTGTCAGACTTCACATGTGATGTCATGCAGTATTTATCTTTCTCTGCCTGTCTTGTTTCAATAGCATGATGCCCTCCAAGCTGAAATAGGCTGTTCTAGAGGGCAGGATTTCCTTCCTTTACCTCCAAATAATGGAATGATATGTATTATTAGTAAAATATATACATTTCCATTTTCTCGGCTGCATTTGACTGCACAAACACTTATTGTGTTAGTCCTAAGATTGGAAGGATGAATAGAAGTTCTCACCTTCAGCCATCACATGATCTAGTAGTGAACCCTAGGGCAAGTTAGGGATCATGAGGCAGCCTCAGGACAGTGCAGGGACTTCAGGAGAGATAAGGAAGGCTCCAAAGAAAAGGACAAATTCCAAACAAATTCCAAAGGGGACAAATCAAGCACCCCAGACTAAGGTCAACAGGACATTCCAAATTGAGGACAATAAAGAGGAAAGAGAAGGTCTGGGACACAGAGACTTAGCTCTGGGCACAGAGACATTGAGACAGTGATGAGACCACCCAGAACTAACCCCTCACAGAGACCCTGGTGGAGCTTTGGAATCATCAGAGAAAGAAGGTGCATATTCCCTGAGACAGGCCTCCACTGTGGCTTCCTTGCCCCTCCCTGGCCTGGTTTCATGGGCTGGGAGTCCCACTTTATTTCTGTTCTTTTTCTCCTCAATAAAAGATTTCTTTCCCTAAATAAACCTGCCCCCTCTAAATGCTTGCCTGAACGTCTGCAAAGTTCCTGCTGAGGCTTTGGGAGACACCAGCCCCTGGTGGTCTAGGGGCCGGGACTCAGTGCTGCCCCTGCAGCTGGGATCTGTTCCTGGCTGGGAGACTAGGCCTGAAAACCTACAGTTCCAGTATCAGTATCCTCAAATAAACCAGAGAAACGGTTGGGGTGGCCCGCAGCACACGAGGGGAGGCTGTGTGGGACTCAGTAAGGTTTCCTGAGGAGAAAACACCTTCTCATATTAAGGCGTTTTGGGTCTTTCTGGGCAAGATACAGCGACTTCTGAAAAATGCCTGAGACCTAAGGTTTCCCCAGCCCCCTTGTTCTCGGGATGTAGTCTTGGTCCCAGAGTTCCTGCTGGTCAAGCTACAATGTGGAGTCAGGCAGGAGGCCCCTCACCAGGACAAAAGCCTTGGGATGAGGAACATACGGGAAATCCAGCATCTGTTGAACACAGCAGCGGACATTATGGCCAGGTGAGCGCAACCAGCTCGACCACCTGGACGGGAAGTCAAGGGTCACAGGGTCTAGAGAGAGGGAGGTTTGATCAGCAGCTCAAATGGAGCCCTAGTCACTGCTCCTCCCTAGTCGTGCCAGACATTTCTGCATCCCCAATCCACCTCCCCACCACCCCATTCCTCCACGGACCTGCCCACCTTCCCCGAATGTCATCCCCAATAAATATGAGGTGGTTTGGGGGGCTTGGGCTGCACCTCCAGAGGTGTGAGCCCCTCTTCGTGTCTCTCTCTCTCTCCTTGGACTCTGAGTTGTCTTTCCTCCCTCCCGCGCCTCTCCCAGCGCTGCTGTCCTGCAAGGTGACAGACCCAAAGGGGCCCCCTCGGGCTCCCCTGCACCCACACCCCATATCTCCAGCTGCCCTGTGGAAGGTGGACGTCGTCTGGGTCCCGCCCTGGTCCTCACCCTGCTGTAGAATCTTGCGCCCTAAACGCTGCCCTTACAGAAAGCAA